CCTGTCCTTCCTCAAAAATGTATGCTTCTGATTATCCCCTCTCCCAATCTGCCCTCCTTCTACCAACTCCCTCTTATTCTCTTCCCTCCTGCTTTCCTATAGGGTAAGGTAGATTTCTATACCCAATTGAGTGTGTATGTTATTGCCTCTTTAAGCCAATTCTGATGAGCGTTAGGTTCACTCATTCCCTCTCACCTTTCCCCCTTCCCCTCCACTGTAAAAGCTTTATGTTGCCTCTTTTATGTGAGATAATCTACCCCATTCTATTATCCCTTTCCTTTCTCCCAGCACATTCCTCTCTTACCCCATAACTTAATTTTTTTAATATCATTCCTTCATATTCAACTCACACCTGTGCCCCCTCTGTCTACATATACTCCTAGCTACCCTAATAATAAGAAAGGTCTTATGAGTTACAAATATCATCTTTCCATGTAGGAATGTAAATAGTTTAACTTTAATAAGTCCCTTGTGATTTCTCTTTCCTGTTTACCTTTTCATGTTTCCCTTGAGTCTTGTATTTGAAAGTCAAATTTTCTATTTAGCTCTGGTCTTTTCTCAAGAATGCATGAAATTCCTCTATCTCATTGAATATCAATTTTTCTCCCTCATGGATTATACTCAGTTTTGCTGCATAGGTGATTCTTGGTTTTACTCCTAGCTCCTTTGGCCTCTGGAATATCATATTCCAAGCCCACTGATCCTTTAATGTAGAAGCTGCTAAATCTTGTGCTATCTTGATTGTGGTTCTGCAATACTCGAATTGTTTCTTTCTGGCTGCTTGCAATATTTTCTCCGTGTCCTGGGAACTCTGGAATTTAGCTATAATATTCCTGGGAGTTTTCATTTGGGGATCTATTTCAGGAGGTGATTGGTGGATTCTTTCAATTTCTATTTTACCTTCTGGTTCTAGGATGTCAGGGCAGTTTTCCTTGTTAATTTCTTGAAAGATGATGTCTAGGCTCTTTTTTTGATCATGGCTTTCAGGTAATCCAATAATTTTTAAATTATCTCTCTTGGATCTATTTTCCAGGTCAGTTGTTTTTCCAATGAGATATTTCACATTGCCTTCTAATTTTTCATTCTTTTGGTTTTGTTTTATACTTTCTTGATTTCTCATAGAGTCATTAGCTTCCATTTGCTCCATTCTAATTTTTAATGAATTATTTTCTTCAGTGAGCTTTTGGACCTCCTTTTCCATTTGGCCAATTCTGCTTTTTAAGGCATTCTTTTCCTCATTGGCTTTTTGGACCTCTTTTGCCATTTGATCTAGTCTATTTTTTAAGGTGTTATTTTCTTCAGTATTTTTTTGGGTCTCCTTTAGCAAACTGTTGACTCGTTTTTCATGATTTTCTTGCATCACTCTCATTTATCTTCCCAATTTTTCCTCTACTTCTCTTACTTGCTTTTCAGAATCTTTTTTGAGCCCTTCCATGGCCTAAGACCAATTCACATTTTTCTTGGAAGCTTTGGGTGTAGGATCTTTGACTTTGTTGTCTTCTTCTGGTTGTATGTTTTGATCTTCCTTGTCCCCAAAGTAAGTTTCTATAATCTGAGTTTTTTTTCCATTGTTTGCTCATTTCCCCAGCTTATTACTTGACTTTTTAACCCTTTGTTAAGGTAGGGCTCTGCTTTAGGAGTTTTGTGCAGCTGTTTTCAGAGATACTTATATGGACCTGTAAGTTTTCAGTTCTTCCGAATGGTATGATAAAAGAAGAGGTGTTTACCCCTCTCCTGGACTGTGTTCTGGTCTATGAGTGACCACAAGCACTCTTTTCTGCCCTGGAACTGTGAGAAGAGTTCCTTCTCTAGTGCTGCCATAAGCTCGGCTATGCTAGTACTCCTCCTTGCCCTGGGACTGCCACCCAGGACTGCGACTTAGATCCAAGTATGGGCAAAGCAACAGAGTCCTGCTTTAGTGCTACCAAAGAGACCCCTGTAATCTCCTTCTGACCAATTGTTTGATCCCCTTACCATCTCTTGGCTGACAGCTCCATAAGCCGCTGCTGCTGCTGCCACTACTGATTCCATCACTCCTAAGGCCTGCTACTGGTTTGCTGGGGCCAGTACTTTGCTGGCACAGCCTGTGGTGGATTGTGCTCTTCCTTCACCCAAATATTTCCTGCTAACCTTCTAAATTGTCTTTGGCACGAGTAGGCTGAGAAGTCTAGAAACTGCCACAGCTGCCAGTGATTCAGTCATCCTGAGGCCGGTCTGTGCTGGCAGGTCCTGTGCTGGACTGTGCTTCTCTCTCAGCTTAGTGCCACAGACCTTTCCTGTCGACCTTCCAGGTCTTGGGCTGGAAATTTGTTTCACTCTATCTTTTGTGGTTCCAGGTCTACTGATTTTATCTCCTCCCTCCCTTCCTTCCTTCCTTCCTTCCTTCTTTCCTTCCTTCCTTCCTTCCTTCCTTCTTCCTTCCGGTCTGGTAGATTTCACTGACGGCTTGTGCTGATGACAGGTGTAAAGCCTAGGTTAGATAAGGAGCCGGAAGGGACGTTGGGGAGCATTCCTTACAAGTGCCCACATTTAACAGAGGAGCAAACAGAAGCTCAACCAGGCACGAGGGAGGATTAGAACTCACAATACAATGCTCTTTTCACTACACTCTGCTGAGTCCTTCCTTCCTTCCTTCCTTCCTTCCTTCCTTCCTTCCTTCCTTCCTTCCTTCCTTCCTTCCTTCCTTCCTTTCTCTCTTTCTTTCTCTCTTTCTTATTCTTGGAGAACCCACTGAGAAATCTGCTGGCAAGTCTATGCAGTTATCACATGAATGACAAAAATGGTGGCGTAAAGGCAAGAACTCACCTAAGCTGTCCCCCAAACGCCTCCAAATACTTTTAAAAATGACTCTAAACAAATCTAGAGCAGCAGAACCCACAAAAGCTGTGGTCTTGACATTATGATTAAGTCATGGGAGGGGGGCAATCTAAGGTCCTTAATGCACATGACCCATATATCAGTGCCATATTGATCAACTCTGAAAGCATTCATCCTAGCTTTACTTGATTACAACAAAACCATTAGAAGCATCCCCTCCAGAGCCATCTGAGGTTGATTTTTGGCTATACTTCCCAATGATTCATCAAAGCCACAAAGTGGTTCAGAGGATCATAAGATTTACACCTACAAGAAACAGGCTCATATAGTTAAATGCCCCCCACTATACAGATAAGGAAACTGAGACCCAGAGAGAGGAAGTAACTTGTCCAAGGTCGCATAGGTATTTAAGTAGCCAAGGCAGGATGAAAGAAGCAACATAAGTCTTTTCTGGCCATGGGAACTGCTGAAGTAAACACCTACGCTCAAAAGTGGTATTTTCTTGTTGGTTAAAACATTGTTAGCTATATAATGATATCATTCCCTTTGAATTCCTTAGTATTCTTATAACCTCTGAATTTCTTTACTTGATGCTACAGTGCTTCTTGAAATCAAGTAGTTTTATAGTAATAAAGTTCTGCCATGTTGAGGTTCAGATCATTCTTTTCTGTGACCAATACACAAAATCATATTCACCTGCCCACCTCCATAGGATCTCCTCCTTCTGCCACGTGGCCCAGTGTTTCATTTCCATATTTTAGGATCAGAGTTTATGCTTTCCCCATTGCAGACAGACAGGTTGAGAATCAACCATGATCTTGAGGAATTATTCTGAATTAGAAGAACTAATTAATCAATGTTGTTTCACTAATAAAAATGAGTTAAATGATATTTAAGCCTAGGTATTCCCATGGTTGCCTTAGAAATTGCTGCCTATTAATAGAGATGATGAAAATTCCAGAATCATCGCGTTTTGATCTTGTGGTCTTTGTGGTCCATTTCCACAGAAGGTAATGAAAGTAGCATTGTAAAGGTTTCTCTCCTCTTACATCAGCAAAGAGAACAACTGTACTTTAGTAAACGACTTGAGGGCAGGAACTGTTTCTATTTTGTCTTTTTATCACTGGTGCCTAGCACATGGTAGGCTTTTAATAAATGTTTATTAATTTGTAGTCATGTTACTTAGGATAAGGCATTCTTTGATCTACTAGTTTATCTTGTATAATGCTTCCTATTCGTATATTTATATAATGCAGGCTCTGGGGTTACTTTCCCAACCCCTACTTGCAATGGAAGGCATAACAATTGCTCATCGAGCTGCACTTTTTGAATATTTCTCTTCTAGGTCCCCCATCACTGACTATGTTATAATGGCAGCCAAAGAGGCATCTTTTGTCAGCAATCGTGTGACCCATCAAGACCACTCTTGATGACATACCAGGGGAGGTATTTGCAGCTTTATTACCACAGATGTGGTAATCACTAAGAGTTGTGACCCAAGAGAATTCTCATTATCATGGCACAACTGTCAGGGAGATCCCTCAAGGAGCTTACCAAGGTACAGTCATTTTCTTTTCTGGAGCAAAGCTGGAGAAATTTTTGACAATTTTATATTCATTGTCTTCAGCAGGAATGATTCTGTCATTTGCTATGTTTGACCCTGGGCAAATCTCTCTGGGTCTGAATTCCTCAGTTGGTAACATGAGACCTTCTGCTTTTATATCTGTAAGCCTATGAACCTATGTTTACAACCAGCTTCTAACTCCATCTGCTGTCTGTGTTCAATAGCGTGTTTCTGGCTCAGTTTCCATATCTACCTTTTCCCGTGCCCGCTCTATGAGCATGTCATATGTGACGTGTAAGCTCTAGGCTTGTCAGATCCAGTGACAGGAATATCCTATAACCCCTGGGCCTGTTTGTTTATTCTACATAACCCCTTCCTAGTAGATCTGCCTCCACAAATACATTTTCTTGGGCAAGATGGTGACAACCACTGTTCTCCATTCAAGGTAAGGGAATGTTTTTCATTTTGTCTCTGTATCCCCAGCACCTAGCATAATGCCTCATACGTGGAAGGGGTTTAATATTGAATTGTATGACAATAGCTTTTGTCACTGTGACTTGTCATTTATTGTTTTACTATAGGACTCATTTTTAACATTTGTCTTCTTTTTTGGGGACAGGTACGAAGCTAAAAGTGTAATTATAAAGAAAGGACGCTGGCCAATGGAATGCTACTTTGTGCTTTCTGGAAAATTAGCAGCTGTATCAAGTTTAACAGCTGAAAATTCCAACTCAGAAATTATAAGTGAATTTGAAGAAGGAGACTTTGTAGGGGTAAATACTTACTAAGAAAATTTTAGCCTAATTAATTTTAAGAATGTTTTTATGATTATATTGAAATGATTAGTAGGGGGAGTTATGATATATTCTTCCAAATGCTAGAAATTTTTGAAGTTGGAATGCTTTTTATTTTTAAAAAAATTTCTATTTTATTATTTATTTTTAATATTCTTTTTTGAAAATTTTGAGTTCCAAATTCTCTCTCTCTCTCCCTCCAGCCCCATTCACCACCCACTGAGAAGGCCAGAAATTGAAATGTTGATAAACAGCAACTAAAATATCCCTACAATTTTAGAGGAGGATGTCAGAATAAAATGCATTTACTTATCTTTTTTTAATCACGAATTGCCCAATTTCATTTTTTTAATTATCAAGCACTCATTTTTTCTCTTCCACTTCCCCCCACACACATTGAAAAAAAATAAATAGAGAACTTCTGTGTTACATAAGCACAGTCAAGCACAACATATTATTATATTGGTCATGTCAAAAAATTAATTTCTTAGTCTACGTGTTAATCACTTATTTCTTTGTCATAAGGTAGGTTGCAGTCTTCTTATTATCATTTAGTTGATCAGAGTTCTTGAGTCTTTTAAGAATGTTCACAATAGGGGCAGCTAGGTGGCGCAGTGGATAGAGCACCGGCCCTGAAGTCAGGATGGACCTGAGTTCAAATCTGCCATCAGACCAAACACTTGACACTTACTAGCTGTGTGACCCTGGGCAAGTCACTTAACCCCAATTGCCTAAAAGCAAAAAAAAAAAAAAAAAGAATGTTCACAATACTGATGTTATAGCATAAATTGTTCTTCTGGTTCTACTCACTTCATTCTGCATCAGTTCACACAGATCTTTATATGTCTTTGAAATTATTTTTTCCTCATTTCTTACAGCACAATAGTATTTCTTATATCACAGTTTTTTCAACCATACCCCAATTGATGGGAATCCCCTTATTTTAGCTTTTTTGTTACCATAAAAAGTGCTGACATAAGTATTTTTGTATGTATAGGACCATTTCCTCTTTCTTTGATCTCTTTGTGGTATGTACCTAGCAGTGGTATAGTTGGGTCAAATGGCATGCCCTATTTTGTCACTTTTTGTGCAGAATTGCTTTCCAGGATGGTTGGACCTATTCACAGTTTTACCATCAATGTGCTTATTTCTTTTAGTTCTTCCAACATTTGTCATTTTCTTTTCTTTCTTTCTTTCTCTTTTTTTAAACCATCTTTGTTAATCTGATAGGTGTGAGGTGGAACTTCAGAATTGTTTTAATTTTCATTTCTATTAATTATGAATGAATTGGAGCATTTTTCATAGGCTACAGATAGCTTGAGTTTCTTTTCTTGCCTGTTCATGTACTGAAGTCATTTATTAATTGGAGAATGACTCATAAATTTGAATCAGTTTATCACATATCTTGGAAATGAGATCTTTATCCTTTCAGACATTAGTTCAGATTTATTTAAAAACGAAAGAGAAAAAAACCATATACTTTTATATCAGAAACTATTCATCTCGAAACTCTCTTTAAATCTCTAGTATCACAGTCCAGAATATGAAAGTTCCTCAGACAGGCTTTACTCCCCAGCCAATCTTCTTTTTGTTCCTGCCCAGTGCTTAGCACAGGGCCTGGCAAAGAGTAAGCTCTTAATGTTTGGTGAGTTGACTTTACTGAACCCTAAAACTTTCTCCATGCCTGGAGATCCAACCACATTAACAATCCCTAAAAGTAAACTTCCCCTGTTCCCTGAATCTTTACACACACACACACACACACACACACACACACACACACACACTCCAATGGAGTTAAGCATCAGTATTATTTTTTGGTGGGACATTCTGCTCCTTGAATTTATAGCTGCTCTAGGAAATAAGCTATAGTATTTTATGAATAATAATAATTGTTAGCATTTATATGGTGCCTTATGGTTTGCAAAGTGCTTCACATACATTATTTCATTTGATTTCATACAATAATAATGTTTGGTAGAAGTGTCTCTGTTTTACAGGTGAGAATACTGAGGCACAAAAATGTTAAGAGACTTACCCAGCATCACACAGCTAGTAGATCATACTATCATAGATTTAGAATTGGAAGGGAACTTAGAGGTCATCTATTCCAACCCTTTCATTATACAAGGGAAGAACCTGAGTCACAGAGAGATTAAATGACCTTTCCACGGTCACGCAGCTATTAAATGTCTGAGGCACTGGTTCTTCCTGCCTCCAAGTCCAACTCTCTATCCATTGTGACATACATGCAAGAAATAGTATAAAATATGCCGGTTAGGAACTGTATAATTGGAACTTAGGTGATTATGTAATGAGAATAGATGTTGTCATAAGTAGAACAAGGTAAACGGAGCTTGCTCCAGAGTGCTAAAATTTAGAGAGTACTGATATCGCACGTACTCATTCAATAGGTAGAAACAATTAAGTTTAACACCTAATCAGAAAAGAGAATTAGTTAAAATAGGGGGCTAACAGTTGACATGCTTCCTCCACCTCACTGCCAAGCCTTAGCTGAACTGCTCCTCAGACTGTCCCCCACTCCTTGCTCCCTTTCCTTCTCTACTGGTAGCCTCCCCAGCAGTGGCTTCATGGTATCCTGGCAACACCACATACATGCATGGGTGTAATGTCACAGGGTCTCTGCATCTTTCCCATGTGGTCGATGTCCCATGGTTTTTCTTGCATTAGACCCTGTGTTCTGGGGTCCTAGGTGTTTACTCCTACTCTCCTCAAATGGATTGGCCTCTAAAAATTGCTTGCCCTATGGTGTGATACGTGATGTTTTCCCTAGGCTGTGTTATAATGCTCACGTCCTCTGGGCTTCAGAATTGTTCCTCATGTCTGTCTCCACCTGCACCGATTTTAAATCCATAGGATATTGAAAGATTTATAGGAAAGAAGATTTATAGGAAAACATGATAAAGTTAACAGGATTAAAAAGCAAGGTGGGTTGTGATTTGTATATAGGATTCATACTCACATTGCTAAGACAGTAGATCCTATGAATTGTAAAAGCATGCTCCAGTCTATAGGTTCCTGAAAGATAAGACCTCCATTTCTATAAAACAAATTAATACTAATTGGCACATTTGACGATTTGGAAAAGGGAACTAGACCAGTGACATAAATCTCTTGCTTTATCAATTATTCAAATTAATAATTCTGTAAAAATAATTTACTTTAAAATCAGTTCCCCAAATGAGAGTGATTGAAAGTGAAGTTCTATGTCCCATAGAATCATAGAATTTTAGATGTAGATGAACCTTAGAGACCATCTAATCCTTTTATTTGTGTAATTGAAGAAATCAAGGTCCAAAGCTTCTATTATGAAAGTTAGAATTGAAAAATAGCTTCTAAAATGAATGTATTTCTTTTTTATTTTTAGGAAACTTGTCTGTTAACTAACACCCGCCGACCTACTACAATTGTATGCAAATCAGATGCAGAACTTCTGGTGATAAGTAAGAAGGTAAGGACAATGAGGAAATGTAAGGAAGTTCATAAATATTTTTAAAGAATACTTTCCATTTACTCTTCAAATTACAGATTGCAAAAAATCAGGTAAAGAATAACTAAACTAAATTGCCAGATAATTAATGTCAGGCTTTTTTTTTTTTGGCTAGGCAATGGGGTTAAGTGACTTACCCAGGGTCACTTAGTAAGCTAGTAAGTGTTATGTGTCTGAGGCCCGATTTGAACTTGGGTCCTTCTGAATCCAGAGCCGGTGCTCTATCCACTACGCCACCTAGCTGACCCCCACGCTATTTGTTTTAAATTGTTGGGAGCATGGTGTGCTTTGTGGTTGTAGGGCAGGCTTTCTTGATTATTGTCATGGAATTTTTTTTGGGGGGGGGACCCAACAGGGTCAGTACTCACCAGTCTGGGTCCTTAAGGTTGGGCTCAGATAATATCAGTAAGGAGTCAATTAAGAGGGAAGCAACAAGCCATTTTATTGTGGTTGGCCTGAATGACCAGTCCTGATGAGCTCTTGCCAGTTAGTGACACCCAAAAATCCTCTCAGGCTGTATAGATGAGCATTCTTCATTGTACTAGCTCACTATTGTTTCTTATATCCTGTGGAGTGGAAGGAACCCCAAGAAAGGACAGCACTTTCCATCTTAAACTCTAAAACTATAGCTTGTCATCAGAATTACAACGAACTCCTACTTGGATACAAATAGCAATTTAAAAATAAAGCATTTGGCCACACTCTAATGAAAAATGCTCAACGACCAAAAAAAGTTGAAAATTATTTTGAAATAATTCTTTCAAGTTACCCAATGAACCAAAGAATATGAGATAAAAAGGTGTATCTGCTAGCTCATATTGATACATTCACATTCCAACTAAGTGTTTCTCAAACTTGGCATTGCATCTCCTGCATCCCTGCATTCATGGCAAGCCTGAGCAGACTCTCATTATCTATTTCAAAACTCTTATTATCCTTTAAGATTGTGCTCAGGCATAGCACCATTGTTTTCCAGGAAGCCTTCAGTCTTTCCATATAAGTACTCCCTCCATTGTCGAATTATCTTGTATTTACTTTTCTGTGTGCATTTTGTAATCTCTAGGAGATTGTAAGCTGCTCAAGTGCTGCACTAGCACAGTGCCTTGCATCTATAGTAAATGCCTAATAAATGTTGAGCGAAATTGAATCTGTGCATATTAACCCTCTGCCCTATCCCCTCTTCCAAGAATGTAAGCTACTTGAGGGCAGGGACTGTTTTCATTTTACATTCTCCATGTTAGCATAGTCCCTTGCATAGAGTAAAGGCTTAATGAATATTTGTTGAATTAAATTCAATTGAATTAAACTAAACTTTAAATATACAGTACACTATCATGGCTTGTAATGGGCTAACTACTAGTTTTTGTCTGCTCCCAGCTGAAAGCAATTGGTGGGTTGTAAAAGAATAAAAGATTTTGTTATAAAGTCTGGAGAAGGAAAATTTGCATTAGAACTTGTTAAGAGTCTATCTCTCTCTCTCTCTCTCTCTCTCTCTCTCTCTCTCTCTCTCTCTCTCTCTCTCTCTCTCTCTCTTTCTCTCTCTGTCTCTCTCTCTCTCTCTCTCTCTGTCTCTCTCTCTCTCTCTCTCTCTCTGTCTCTCTCCTCTCTTTTCACATTGGTTGTTAGCCTACATTGTGGCAGCAGTTGCACTGGTGCGAATTTTTACAAGTTTTCAGGTACGATTAATTCTTTTCTGGTGAATATGTTGACTAGAAAAGTAAAACAGTGGATAGATACCATAGTGATCATCCTTTGATCATCTATTTTTTCATTGATTAATATGGTCCTTTGGGTGTAGCAGCAAATTAGATGGTAAGGCATCTTCTTTAATGTTGTTTTCATTAATAAAACCTTGTCAGTTTCTGTTATTGAATCATTTGACAATGCCAACAACTTTTTCACTGGGTCTTCAGTAGCTGTGGCTGCTGATGCCAAGGCTATAATAGGTCATGCAAAGAAAATTGTCAGATCGCATCACAAGGATTAATTATCTGGGCTGTGGCTGCAGAGGACCAGGTCTACCCGATGTACTGAATAGCCAGACCTGCAGTCAATCAGATGAGGATGCTGTTCCCCTTAAGAGCAGAGATTAGCATAGGCTCAGAAAAGTCCTGTCCCCAAATTCACAAGAGTATTGCTTCAGTGTCTTATTATAATTCTAATTATCATTCTCAAAATAATAATCAGTTTGGCACATCATAGCCTTCATTATGACAAGATGTGCCCATGAGTTCCCATAAATCATCAGCTGGAATGCATCAGGACATCAATATGTTTACCACAATGTCTCCTTTTTCGCCTGACAAGACACACTTCAACCTGTCTCCATTCCAGCAACATTAGGGTTTCTGTTTCTTAGGCTATCTCCAGCAAATTGCGTGCCAGCATAGCAATTTTCTTATGAAACTTCCACTTAATTTATAATTGTGTGACCTGTCCCAACTTTGATTACACCAAAAAGATAAGCATAACATCAAGATTTGGGTCAGATTTAGCCTTGTTCTATCAGAGTCTCTTCATACTTTCCACCCACAAATCTTAACATTGAACAATTGTTTTTCATATCAAGTATCCAACGTTATCAATAGGTTGTCACTGTAGGCTGCTCATCAACATTTTATTAGCTATTTAGATGAATCTACAATTTTATTTGTGGTGTCCCAGGAGCAGATCATAATCTTCCTATGTCTTCCCAGATCCTGCACAATCTGATCCATATCTTTCCATAAATGCATCATCAAGCATCCACTCAATGCTCTAGATACCTTCTTCTGCTTCTTTTCATATCTCAGGGATACCAGCGTCCTCGGGCTCTCCACATCTTAGCTCTCATTCTTGGTACATAACTGGCCCACCTTACTTTACAGCTATTATCTTTATAGAATCAACTTTTATCCAGTGCTGTAAGATTTGCTAAGTCTTCTACATAGATTATCACATAAATTATCCTTTCCCTCTCTCTTTGTCTCTCTATCTTTCTGTCTCCAATATAATTCAGGTAGGCCTGATGCTAATTCTCTGTAAGCTCAACTTTTTTTTTTTACCATGCTGTGAGAAAATACTCCTCACAATTTTCTGTCATTCTCCATAATGTTTTGAAAAATTGAACTAGTACTCTAAACCTATATTTAAAATACATCTTAGTTGCTATGTCTGTCCTTATAGCCAAGCTGATGCAGAAACTTTCTGGGCTCTTTGAGGTTTCTCTTCACAACAAATGTTGAACATTGGTTGAACTTCTCTAAGAAGTGATGAAATGGTAAATGTCTTTACTTTGCCCATTTCCCACTTTTCACAGACAACAGCTTATTTTAAAAGGACAAGTTGGCACTACTATAATTTCAGACATTACTGACCTTAGAGTCAGGAAAACATGGGTTCCAATCCTGCTTCTGACACTTGCTAGCTATGTGATTGGAGGCAAGTTGCAAAGCCTCTCTTTGCCTTGGTTTCTTCATCTATAAAGCAAGAATAATAATATAATACTTGTAGGACTTAGCTCATAAGGTTGTTGTGAGGCATAAATGAAATAATAAATGTAAAGCACTCTGCAAAATCTAAAGTGCTATATGTCAGCCATTATTTTTACTTTATTCTAATCTGTTATTTATTTAACCTTGACTCTGTCTAGAAAATTATCTGATTGCGCAGAAAGCTGATTCTGAAGTGACTTTTATGCCTATAGTTGTTTCCTACCTGTTAGAAGAAATTTACTGTAGTGTCTATTTGTAGCATCATTCAGTATTCACTGTCATCAGCACTTTTTGATTCTCTTCCTGAAGAAAGCGTGCTGTCCAGATTTTCGTTTTCCAATTAGTCTTTAAGTTTTTGGCTTCCTTCCTTTCTTAATTCCAAACTGTATTTTCCAATGTAGTTTTCACCAGTTTACCTTGTGCCCACTTTGCCACTGAAGGCACCAAGATTATCTGTCTATGCACCTATGTACCTACCTACCTACCTATCTATCTATCTATTGACTTCTTTTGAATGTTCTTTCCATTCTTCATAGAATTTCTCTATTCTTCATCCTTTGTAAAGGATGTTGGCATCAGAGCTACATTATTTTTGTGGTTTAGCTATGTTCATTGTGAATACAGCAAGTTCCAATGATCAAGTGTACCCCAAAATGTTTCTTACCTCCTTTAAATGCATGAAGAAACTAGCTTCAATTCTTTCATTCCCTTTTCCATAGAGAACCCCTATGCTGCTGATTTTCCCCCCTGATTTAACTGCAACCTTTTGTCTTCTTTCATTTATAGCAAGAATGTCATATTTATGTTCTTCAGTTGCTCCAAAAGTAGGTCACCATTGATGCTGGATGGAGGTGACATATATTAAGTGATCATTAATGGTTAATGTTCATAGACAATCTGGGCAGTGCACATCTTAGCCCTCTCTGCCCTTTTATCAGCCTCTCCAGCATAGCCATTGGCCTAAGAGAAAAGGAGCTACACAGGACTTAGAGCTGTCCTGTGTTTTTGCCCATTTCATGTCACCATAGTCTAAATAACTTGCCACCCAATGGCCCACCTTCAGGTGTAGTCTTTTCTATATTTAGCTAAGTTGATTCTTGAACAATAGGAAGAATTTTTCCATAGGCTCATATTTGAAGTTTGATAGAAATTGCCATATTTTTATACTCTAATGACCTTTAAGAACTTAGGGTCAACTCCACACTATGATAAGGCATTGGAATAGGACTTTTGTAAATAAACATTTTGTTACTGGAATTTTAAAAAATTAAAGTAGCACAAAACTGCAAGCACTATAATAGATTTGATAGCTGTTTTGTTACTATATGTGTATGATTTTAAGTTAAGAATTATATATATCAATGGAATGCTATTGTTACATAAGAAATGATGAGCAGGTAGGTTTCAGAAAAATCTGGAAAAACTTACATGAACTGATGCTGAGTGAAGTGAGCAGAACAAGAACATTGTACACAGTAATAGCAACAT